TTCTTCACTAAATAAATCAGTGCCATCTTCAATAGAACTTGAGATTTTATTAAAAATTGATAAGAAATCCTCTTGGCGAAGATTTGGATCCACATAATTAAGCTTTGACTTAGCATTCTCAACCAAAAATGAATGCATCTGGGCCATAATTTCTAGACGACTAAGACTTAATCTAAAAATAATATTTGCAATTAGTTGCTTAAAAAGCGAATAAATTTAGTGTGTTTGGAACAGTGTTAATTTTTCAATTAATGTTAAAATTTACTGTGTGATATCCGCACAAACTTTTTTTGTGCAACGAGTAAAAAAAACCATGAGAACTATGCACTATAGATTGGTGCCAAAAGTAGTTATGTCATATTAAGGTTGTCATAATTTGTAATATTATAATAAAATTATTAGTAAAAATATATAATAATTTGTCAAAATACAATTTCGACATGAAATAATAGGTTTGGCACCAATCACTACTGTGCACACTATTTACAAAATGATAATTTTTTCTGTGCGATATCCACACATCTACTCGAAAAAAATGTGCACAAACTTTTGTTTGTGTGCTATGCACAGTCTGTATAGTGAAAAATAGTCACTGGTTTGGAATTTCTTAGTTAAATTTAAAATAGGTTCTACACTACCGGGCAACAAAATAAATTTATCGTTATCAATTGACAAAAAAAGAATTTAAAAATTTATACGTAATTAAAAAAAAACAGCTTTAAAATATGTTAATTTGCCAATCAAAATAGATTGTGTAATGATACACAAATTGTGCATACGTATAGACTAATTTAACTAAGAAATTCTGAATACATATGCTTAAAATAAACCTACCTAGTTCTTCTTTTTCCGAAATACCATCCTAGTATGCTAAAAACATGCTCACAGGCAGCATTATGGGATAAAATGGAATGTATTTTTAGAGCAAGGCTTTTAATATGATCTTCATGTTTTTTCATTTCTATAGACATCCACCAATTAGTAATTGTATCAGCGGATGCAATAAATTTATCATCAAAGGGAGGTTTCTGATTTTTATACAAATTCATTTGAGTTTTTAAAAGATCTGCACTTGTTCGACCACCACCTAACTTCTTCCATATTTCTAAAGCCTTTTTAAGAATATGATTTTTATATATGTTAAGCTCAAAAAAATCACCTTTAATAAAAAAAAAATTAAATTAAATTAAAAATATGCATTCTGAAGTAAGTTAATAAAAAACTTTTTAAGTACCTCGGTAAGCTGGGTGTAAAAAAAAGGACAAAAGATACAAATCTGTATCAAATTCTTTCCATCGCTTATTATAAATAGCGATACAATCTCGTTGAAATTGGCTATTATATAAAACAGAAGTTTCTTTGATTGCGATTGCCATTTTTACTAGTTCAACAAACACATTAGCTAACAAGGTAGTTCGAAACTCCACATTTTTTACAGCCCATTTTACTGGGCGGAGAATATCCCACAATTGTTCCACGTCAATCCAAAATTGACAATCACCAATTAACTCTTTTACAGCACTCGCCCGATTAAAAATTTGAGGATCTTGTTCTAAAACCTATTAAAAATAGG